GAGGTACCACTGTACCTTTCTTTGTTTAACGAAAAAGCTAAAATTCGCGGATATTTACTATGTACATTTTCGAATACAGAAGGAAATAATCTTTTATGTGAGATCTATATAAAATTTTTATCGCCATTTTTTTTAAATCGCTTGATTTTTTTAGACTATTTGACTTATGATTCTAAAATTTCAACATGTAAAAATGTCTCGATTACAAAATTTTGAACATTTCTTAGGTTGGAAAACAAACACTTCGTTCTCTTTTTAAACAAGAATTATAAAAAATATTTCGGACGATTTTCTATGTCTTAAAAAAAATGCACTACAATGTGAAGTAGAACGCTTTTTCCTTCGGCAGTATTGGGAAACAAAGTTTCAAGGTTATAATGGTACTGCGTGATAATAAAATCTAGTACGTTATTTTTAATTTTTTCCCTTTGATAAATGTTTATATATTTTTTCAACATTTCTTTTAAGAGTCAATTTTCTTAATTTTGGGAGGATGAAAAATCTTTTAAATGAAGCTTATGTGAGATTTTTAATGCAATTTCTGATTTTCTGCGCTTGATGTTTTTCGACTATTTGACATAACAGAGTTGTTAGCCATAAAAGTGTAAATATTTGCTGTTGGAAATTTATTTTTCAGTAGAATAATTTGAATTGTAAAGTGTCACTGAGACTACGAAGATGAAAATTTAAAAAAAAATTGCAAGAAAATAAAGAAAGAAGTTTTTATAAAAGCTTTCATTTAAACTTATAAAATTATCAGTGAACTAAAAGTAGAAAAATAATTTATCATATATTTTAATGGGAATAAAAGATTAAATAATTCTTTTTACAAATTACCTCTTCAGTTTTATATCACGAATAATGAAAGCGTGGGAGCTTAAAGTACGAAAGCGGATAATCGAAATAAATTTTCAAAGTATAACCCATTATCTTTATAAATTTATCAGGGTTAGTCCCGCTTTTACTTGAAGTGTTTCAAATAAGGAAGGAAGTAACAATTATAACTTGAAGGAGATAATTTTGTACAATAAATATTTTGAAGTTGGAAAGACATAAAGTAAGTTCTAAGATTTAACGTTGAAAGAGTGTAAAAGACTAATGTTGAAGGTCTGCATGCGACACCTGCGACACCGACAAGGATAAAGAATTTTTGCAGAAATCGCCCAGTTGCGCAGAAGACACTTTTCAGACCTTAATCGCCTTCAGTTTAAGGCTTCAATCTAGTAAGAACACTTCATTTACCTCTATTTACCCTCAGGGGGAGTTATTGGCTATATTTAGTGCTCGATTGTGGAAAAAGTATTGAAAAAGTTTTAAATTTGTGAAAAAGTTATTTTAGAAAGCCAATAAGAAAACTTCCCAGGAGTTTGGTACCTTGTCGTAGTCTGAGGGCTCCTCCTCCTAAGGGAGGAGGTCGAAATCCAAACTCCGAAGATATTTAATTGGGGAAACCCCAGGGTCCCAATTAATAGACTAAAAAAATGGATAAATTTGTACAGACAGTGACTGTTCCCCAAAGTGAACTTATAGAAGAAGCAAGATCACTGATTAGTGATATTGAAACGAGTATGGAAGAAGCAACTCGTGTTACAGTTCCTTTAAGGAAAAAAGTTTTTAAGGCGCAAGAAGCGTTATTTAATTTTATTGTTTTGCAAGCATTGGAGATTGAAAACTTAAAAGGGAGACTTGAAGTAGTTCAGAAACCAATAGAGAAGTCATTTGCAGACATAATAAAGGAACAGAAGATAGAGAAAAAAGTTGTTTCTAAGAAAGACAAACTAAAAGAAAAGAAGAACATGTGGCTCTCATTTATCCGAAGGTAAAAGGAGTTTCTTCAGAAGAAGTGAAGATGAAAGTAGTAGAGGCTATTGATCCCGTAAAATTAAAAATAGGGATCAGAAATGTTAGGAAAATAAATAATGGAGGAATAGCTATTGAGTGCCTTAATAATGAAGAAATTGATAAATTAGAAGAAGAAATTAAATTAAATGAATTGTTAAAGAAGGATGTCGAAGTTAGAGCTCCTATCAAGAAAAATCCGAAAATTATATTATACAATATCGATATGGAAGTTGGAAAAGAAGAATTACAGGTGAATTACTGGAAAGAAGCTGTGACTAAGCAAAATCCTGTATTTGAAGATGGTGGTTTTATTCCACTATTTAGAATAAAAGGAAAGAACAATAAGGCACATTGGGTGGCAGAAACCCAGCCTAATAAATTTAAAAATGTTCTTAATCAAGGAAAAATTAATTTTAACTGGTACCGTATAAACGTAAAAGAATACTTAAACGTAGTGAGATGTTACAAATGTCAAGAATTTGGTCACTTTCATAAAAAATGTAATAAAGAATTAATATGTGCTAATTGCGCACAGAAGGGACACAACCATTGGGATTGCAAAAATAATTCAATATGTATAAATTGTACCAATGCAAATAACAAGTATAAAATGGGGTTAGACGTGCGGCACTCTAGCTTGGATAAAAATTGTTCATGTTTGAAAAGGCAATATGATCTACTAATCAGAAGAACAAATTATGGTTAATAGTTCTTTTTTTGAAATTTAGAGGAGTTCAAATTAATCTTCACCATGCTCGTGCCGCTGTGTCTCAACTCCAACAAAGATCTCTTGAACAAAATTATTCATTTGCTATTGTACAAGAGCCTTATCATATTAATAATAAGGTTAAAGGCTTTTCATCTCAATATAGACAATATTTTGTAGATAACGATATTCCGTTAGCAGGAATAGTTATATTTGATAAAACAGTTTCGGTGATTGAGATTTTGATTTCCAATGTTTTGGTTGTTTTGAAAATTAATTTTGGAAATCAGGATTTTTTGTTGATTTCAGCTTATTGTTCTCCTAAAGCGGATTTGACTCTTTGTTTGTATGAAATTTCAAGAATTTTGAATAAAGATCTATGTAACGAATTTGTTATTGGTGCAGATTTTAATGCTAAGAGTGATGTCTGGGGAGATCAAGAGGAAGATATTAGAGGAAAACAAGTATTGGAATTTATAAATGCATATGGAATTTGTATTTTAAATAATCCTGATTCTCCTCCTACTTTTGAAGGAGCAAGAGGTTCCTCTTGGATTGATCTTACTCTTGCGCACTCTTCCTTAAATATCGATTGGAAAGTCATTACAGATATTTCTTGTAGTGATCATAATTATATAGAAATTGATTTTGGTGATCAAGATTTTTCTCCTTTGATGAGAAAGAGATTTACATTAAAAAATTTGAATTGGATTGATTTTAAAAGAGACGTTTTTTTTTTTTTACTCTTTTATCGCATTATAATAAAATGAAAATTGATGAAAATAATTTGGAAATAATTGTTGAAGGGTTTACTGATGAAGTTGTAAATATTTGTGAAAAGAATAGAATAAAAAAGAAATTTAAAACAAAAGGATCTTCTGTTTGGTGGAATAAAAAAATTGGATATATTTTGAGGTCTAAAGTCAGAATTGCAAGAAGGAAATTTCATAATGCTTTTAATTTGGAGAGATAAAAGATTTTTAGAGGATAATTATAAAAAATAAGAGGAATTTATAAGAAAGAAATTAATATTGCTAAGAATCAATCGTGGGATGAACTATGTAAGAAAACTAATTTAGATCAACCTTATGGTATCCCTTATAAAATTACTATGGGAAAGTGTAAATCTGCACTTACTTTGAGCCGATTAAAAAAGGATGATGGATCGGAAACAAATTCAATAGAAGATACATTGGATTATATGGTTAAGTTCCATTTTCCAGACGATATGATTGAAGATGATTTAGAATGGCATAAAGAAATAAGGCAGAATATTCAAAATTATGAAAATGAATTTAATGATTTAGAATTTACAGAAGAAGAAATAATGAATGTAGTAAGTTCTATGAATAAAGGAAAAGCTCCAGGTTATGATGGTCTATGTTTGGATATAATTGAAGAAATTATAAAAATTGATCCTTGTTTTATTTGTAAAATTTATAATAATTGTTTGAAATTTGGTATATTTCCTAGGATTTGGAAAAATGCTTCTTTGGTTTTATTTAATAAAGAGGGAAAAGAAAAAATGGATCCCTCTCATATAGACCTATATGCTTATTACCTGTATTTGGAAAAATTTTAGACAAACTAATGACGAATAGACTTTACTTTTACTTGAATAAAAATAAATTACTGAATCAATCTCAATATGGATTTGTAGCAGGTAAAAGTACTACTTTGGCTATTTGTGATTTATTGGATAAAATAAAAGAAAATAAAAGATTGAAATTACATACTGCACTTGTCACATTAGATGTTAAGAGTGCTTTTAACAGTGTTTGGTGGCCTTTTATTTTGTTCCAATTAAAGAAGTTTAAATGTCCTTTTAATTTATTTAAGTTATTTGAAAATTATCTTTGTGATCGTTTTGTTTCTTTTCAAGACGGTAATATTTGTTCTAAGAGATATTATAGTAGAGGTTGTCCTCAAGGTTCTAATTCTGGTCCACTTTTGTGGAACATATTATGTGATTCAATGCTTGTTTTACCTTTCAAGGAAAATGTAAAAGTGCAAGCTTATGCGGACGATATAATTTTTATTGTTTCTGCGAGTGGAAGGCACACTATTGATGCTGATATTGATCAAAACATTGGATTTGATTAGTAATTGGTCAAAACAAGTTAAATTAAAATTTGATTATAAAAAATGTGCTATTATGGGAATAGCTAAAGAGAGGAAAGAATGATTACTCTTCCCGAGAGGACATATTGATGGTTTTTCTTTAAAGAGTGTTAGAGAATTAAAATATCTTGGTATTTTAATTGATGACCAACTTACATTTATTCCTCATTTGAAAAAGATTAAGTCACAATGTTCTATTATTTTGAATAAATTATATGCAATAAAAGGTCTTAATAGTAATATAAAGAAAATTTATTATAAGAGAGGAATTGAAAGAAAAATTTTATATTCATGCGCTTCATGGTACAGAAATAATATTAGAATTAACAACATGTTAACTCAAATTCAAAGACTTGCCATGCTAAGTATCACTAAGTGTTTTAGGACAGTATCCAATGCTAGCTTATTTATTTTAAGTGGATGTGAGCCAATCTTTTTGATTGCTCAAAGAGATAGCATTTTATTTCATTTAAAACATGGCAGAAGTCATGCTCAAAGTTTTGATTTACAAGCAGATGCTTCAAATATTGAGATTGGTGGATTAATTAATGATGTTCATCCTGCCTTAATAACTGATTATTTTTGGGACAAGAAGGTTCCAACTCGTGAAGGTCACGAGATTTTTACAGATGGTTCAAAGATTGGTGGTAAAGTTGGTTGTTCTTTTATTGCGTATTCAAATGGAGAGATTGGATGTAACAAAAAGTTCAGATTGAGTGATAATTCTACTGTTTTTCAGGCAGAAGTTTTTGCCATTTTCAAATCCTTGGAGTGGATATTATATAAAGATATTAAAAATGATGTTAATATATATTCGGATAGCCAAAGTGCTTTATTGGCCATAGTTTCTGGTAGATCTGTTACCAAGTTGGTGTATGATACTCATTTTCTTTTGATTGAAAATTTAAAGGAAAGAAAAATTAATCTTCATTGGCTTAAAGGACATATAGGGCATGAAGGAAATGAATTTGCTGACATTTGCGCTAAAAAAGCTACATTAAAAAATACAATTGATATATCTTTACCTACTTCAATAGATATCTTTTTAAAAATGTTTTAGAGACGAATATAATTAATCTATGGCAAGACTTTTGGAATAGAGATTCAAAAGGGTAGATATACTTATAAATTTTTAAGAATGTCAATAAAAAGAGGTGCATTGGTAATGGGTTTATGGCCCAATTTCTAACTAACCATGCACATGTTCCGAAATATTACAGTAGATTTCATATTAAGTTTATGAAATGTATATGTGGAGAATATGAAGCTGATGTAGAACATGTTATTTTATGTGAATTATTAAGAAATAGATGGCTTAAGTTTTTACCATGTTTTAAAAGATGAAAAAGATATTGTAAAAATTTTTCACATAGAAAAATTTAAAAACGGAATTATAGAAATAATGAAAATGAAATTATACAGAATTTGAAAATGTAATTTTTGAACAAGTACTGTAATTTATAATTTATTGTTAAACATAATCAAAATATGAGCAAATAATCATTTGTAAATTATTTTAAAATTCAAGATGAATTGTTGTTTGTAATTGCTTTATATTTGTTTGAACATGTTTGAAAATGTAATTTTTGAACAATCACTGTAATTTATAATCTATAATTGTTAAATATAATTAAAAAATGATCAAATAATCTTTTGTAAATTATCTTATTGTAAATATCTTATTTTATCAAATTCAAGATGAATTGTTGTTTGTAACTGTTTTATATTTGTTTGAATATGTAAGCAAACGATTGTAAAGATTTGATTTTTGTTTTGTATATGTTTTATTTAAATAAAGGTATTTGCTGGCGAGGTCGGCAAATCTTCCAACAGAGTTCGAGTACGGTAGGGTTGTTTTATAAAGTTGAAAGGTTCCAATAAGCCCTGCTTTTGCCGTAAGGTAGCAGTTTAATATCGGTCTTAC